GAGGAAAAAAAGAGCGGTGTGAGAAGATAAGTGGATATGTGCAAGCTCAGGCTTGTCCCTGCCTAGCACCTATACAAGATGGTGAGCACGGTAATATGTACATTCGTTTTTTAAAATGGTAGGTGCCAATTGTTTTTTGGAAACTATAGCGTGTTGTGGTGGGGTGCAAGGAGAGGGAAAATTTGTCCTTCACACTATGGCATTCTCATCAGCCTTTTTGCTATGTCAGCTCCAGCACAACCCAAATATCCCTACCTCGAACTGAGAGAATCCCGGTGCTGTTGGCTTTGCCCATGAAATTCTCAGCGAAGCAGGTATACTTCCCTTCGTCGGACTTGCTGATGTTACGGAGGATCAAAGTGCCATCTGGTGTAATGGTCACCCTAGAGAAGGAAAAGAGCCGCAGCAAGAAATGAGATTACCTTGGCATGGGCAACAGCCATTTTCTGTGCATGCCGATGTGACACTGAATTCCTACATGTTGCTGATTTTTTTTTTTTTTTTTTTAAGGGATGTAAATTTTAAAGGCCAGACTGGCAAAAATGTATTAGACTTTTAAGGAAGAAGAAAATGGAAGCAGCAGCCAGCTGGGCAGTCTCAGGAACACAAGAGAAAGGGACCCCTTGGATCACAGAGTCTAGTCTTGCTGCAGAAGAAGATCTGTTCTTGGCTGTTGTTTCTAGCTAAAAGCCAACTTAGCGCTGGTACCTGCTGCTGTTGATCAGGAGTTCTGTCCCTTTGGTCCAGAGCACGATGGACTTTGGTGCGGCTTTTGGCTGGCACGGGATGATGACCTCCCCACCTCGGGCTGCTGGTATGAGGCGCTTCACTGGGCTTAGCCGAAAATCTGGAGCAAATGCTGAGAAGAAAAGAGGATTAAGGAGCCCTTGCAGATGCTGCTGTAGGAGCATAGTCAAGCCACACTGTAACTGGAGGCTGGTTTATCACCAAACTACATGGTAAGAGCATGACAGACGAGATACAGGAGTTGCTGAATGGCAGATTGCAGCTACTCCGACTCCTCCATCGCTGACCACTGGTGGTGATACCTGACTCAACTGTATCACTCTTGGCAATGGTGGTGTGACCCCAGCACTTGCAAAGTCTCTGCAGAGACTCAAAAAAAGAGAGCTGATTTAGAAGACAAAAGGGAGATTTGCTTTACTGCCCTGGCTAAATTTCAACCGGGGTAAGCACATAGTGCCCCTACACTTCCATCTGGAGTTTCAGTTGGGTATCAGCTGCTTATTTAGTGCCCTAAACTGTTGTACAGTGTTGTTGTTTGCTGTTAGACAGCTGCTGTTGAGAACCTTTCGCATCAGGTTGCTGGTTTAACTCCAGCTCCAGTTGCTACTGGCCAGAAGATAGCTATTTGTTGATGGGAAATGAGTTTGGCATCAGCCCGGTTCCAATTTCTTTTAGCCACAGCGGAATGAATGGGCACTGAACTGTTTAGACCATTCCTTAAAGTCCGGAGAAAGCTGCGGTGTGAAGAGGGAAGGTCGTGCCGCTGCGGTCTATGCTTTGTAGCTTTAGTAGTTAGAGCAATGGTTTGCAGCCTTTTTAGACTCGGAGATCCTCTTGTTAGACTCAGGGTCCCCACTCAGAAAATGCCAGCTCTTAGCTTTCACTTGGTTTTTGACTACAGAAAAATAACAGGGCGATTCGTCTGCTGCAAGAATGCAGGAAGACCATGGCAGGTCAGAATGTTTTTAACTCTACAGATTCCTATTGGAAATCTCTGGGTTTATCCTGTGAACCATGTTTGCACACCTAACTGTGCTAACGGTTTGTGGTACCCCATGGCATCTTGAAAGGCTCTCCGGGCCCCCCTGCATGAGATGTGTGGGGCTCTGGTTGAGAATCACTCGGTTAGAGGAATTCATTCTCCAGGGCCATTTTAAACAAAACTGTACTTTAGAAGATAGCTGATGTGTTCCCCATCATAGACGCAGCTGCATTTAAATGGTGGGTAAAGTGATTTTTCTACTCTTGTAAAGGCCTTTGAGATGAAAAGTGTAGCATAGACACAATCTATTAGGAACACATCCCAGACACGTTCACGTTCAGATAGCCCGTAGGGAAATGAGGAGCTACCTTGCACCGTTAATTCAGCACTTGCATACACTGTGCCATGTTTGTTCTCGGCCACACACTGATACATGCCGGAGTCCTCCAGGGCTAACTTGGAAAATCGCAGCTCTCCGCCACTCACTTCAATGCGGTTCTGTACAAACAAGAAGATCAGTTGATTAGACAACAACAGCGATGATGCTGAGACTCAAGAACCAGATATTCAGAGTTGTGTTTCATTAGAGACTCTTATACCCTCTTGTTCTCAGGCTTGCTTGGTTTTTTTCTGCATGTCAACTCCCTATCTCTCCAAGCAGCATTATACACCTGAGACCCAGAGCAGCACAGCCTGTAGGTAGGGACTAACTGATCTGTCATGGGTGTGGGGTAAGGTTTAGTCACACGAAGAAGTGAATGTTAGGTTTTGTGGTGGGTGGAGAAAGTGGGGAGTGAGTGTCAAAAGGCCCGATGGGTCTGAGGAGAGTCTCAACAGAGTCTCTTCTGTCAAATCTAGTACATGTCCGCCCAGGGAAAGAGCCGCTCAGCAGGGCAAAGGACACCACAAGCCGGGACAGAGGTCCACTGCCAGAGCTGCGCAGGGGCTCCAGGCTTAGAGCGGTGTGCTCGTTGCGTAGTGATGCATGGCTTCCATGGTGCAATAGCAAGAGGTGATTTGCCCGGGGTCAGGAGTGCGATGTACTGGTTTTGCTGTGTAAGACCACAGGAGCGGATGCAACCGGGGGAGATTATGTGACTTGGCAGAGCTGCAGAGGGCTTTAGGAGAGGAGTTGTTGGTCAGTTTGGGGTTTGGCTGAGGTGCGTTCCCAGAGCTGTATCTTGCACAATCTCAAGCCAGCGCTGCAGCACCTGAGAAATCAATGGCTGCCCGTTCCGTAGCCATCTGATCGCTGGCCTCGGCTTGCCAGCTGCAGCACAGCTCCAGCGCAGGTCCGACCCGATGTCCGCTTCCGTGTCCGTGATCACCTTCAGCCATTCTGGCTGAGCTGCAAAGGAGCAAGAGGGATATAGGAGCCAAAAATGTCATGGAAGTGTGCGTGTGTGTGGGGGGGGGCAGGGAAACGGGAGATGCTTGTTCCTGGCAGGCAGGATGATGCTCATCACGTTGCCATGTTGAGATTGCCAATTCAAGGCTGATTCTTTTCTGGGGCCAGCCCACGGATGTGCATCCAGATCCCGCAGCATTATGGGACAATCCAGATTGGAGGAAGGTTGTTGTTACCTCTCATGATTCGGGTTATGTTTGTGGCTCAGTAAAGTTTGAATCATGGGTCCCAACTCTAACCCTCCACCCAAACTCCCTGCAGTTTTGTGAGGCTTGGTTATGGATGTACCCAGGGGTTAGCCTGGATCAGAAATGATGGGTTCCCCACAAAGGGCTCAGTGCTTTGCCTGGGACCCCTTGCTGTGCAACCTTTACCCTGAATGATAATGCGGCCCTGGTAGGTGTCTTTTCCCTTGCTGTTCTCAGCCTCGCACTCGTAAGTGCCTTCGTCCTCAAAGCCCACGTCCTGGATCTGCAGGATGGGCTCATTGGCGATCCACTTGGAGGACTGAGAGCCATCCACCTTCCGCCACCTTATTCGGGGGACAGGGCTGCGGAAAAGGAAAAGAGTGAAGGAGAACTGGGCAAGCTGTTCGAGAAAATTGTTCTGGCACACATTCAGGAGGGGCCAGCAGGGGACTGCATGCTTAGGGGCAATCAGCATGGGTTCATCAGTGGCAGGTCCCGTCAGACCAACCTGGTGGCCTTTTACGACCAGATCACCAGATCACTGGATGCAGGGGTAGCAGTGGACATCGTCTTCCTGGACTTCCGGAAGGCCTTTGACACTGTCTCTCACCCCGTTCTCATTAAGAAACTGGGGGGCTGTGGCGTAGACACCCACACAGTCAAATGGGTCACCAACTGGCTGGAGGGCCGCACCCAGAGGGTGGTGGTGGATGGGTCCTTCTCAACCTGGAAGGACGTGGGCACTGGGGTCCCGCAGGGCTTGGTCCTTGGACTGATACTCTTCA